AATCTGCGAAAAGGGAAATTCTTCAGCGAGTTTATGTCGTAGTGTATTGCTCGTGGCTTGTTCTTGTGGGTAGATGAGCAGAGTAGGCGGGGGTTGAAATGCGTGGGTCAGACCCTGAGCGTAGGTTGGGTGACAGGCTGGTTGGAGCCTGCTGTTTTGGTTGGTACTGGCCAATTCAAAGTCCGTAGTATTCCTTGGTGGAGAAGAGACGTGGTCCGTGTTGGTCGCGCAATCTTTTGTTGTCTTTAGATTGGGGCCGCTTAGGGCTAAGGTCTTGAGCGCTTGCAGGAACCGCACTAAAGTTTCTCTTAAGTTGGTTGGCAGTAAGTGCCGGCCGGTTCGTTTAGATGTACAGATTTCGAGGCACTCCTCGTGCAGGGCAGAAATTTTATCTTCGTGAGAGAGAGAGGTGGAGTCTAGGATTGCGTCCAAATTGAGTTTGCTGACGTAGTATGAGGTATCTGTATTTGGCATTTTGTGAAGAAGCACCGTTGCGCTGTGCGCTGCAAGGACCAAGCTTAGAGTCCCTAAATGTGGTAAGCACACTAGGAAATTGCTTGAGAGGTCGTGTCACTAGAGTTGCGTACGCACTATTGCACGCGCAGTTGCTGAAGAGTCCCAGTTGAAGTGCTATATAGTTGGTAGTCACTACTTTGCAAAGTCACAGAGACGATGGCAGACACTGAGGAGTTGTTATATAGTTGGAAGTCACTAAGTCACAGAGTCACTAGTTGACAGTCACTAAAGATTTACAGATGATTAATGTGTGTGGTAAGTTGTGTGCTCATCGATTGCGGGTGTTTGAATGGTATGAAACAGGTATACATGGAAGAACAATAAATTGCGGGCAATCAATTAAATACAGTAATCAGTTAAATGCAGGTATACAGATTAAATCAATCATATAACGATAAGAACAATCAATAGTAATCTGGATACGGTATAAATCAAATATGAAGGACAAGGAATGGATTAATTCATATATAAGAATCAGATATGGTGAGGTTAACCAGAATACAGTCAATTAGGAAGTATTGCTTACTATTATAATTGCTAATGGTTTCAGTAAATCCTGGCCTTTGATATTGAGGACACACATATTCGTACAATTAGTTAGCCAATTAATGCAATCGGTTTAGACATTATTACATTTGTATGCATAATCCTTGAAAATGGCGTTTGTACCGGTAATCCGATCAAAATAAACACTATTTATGCAGAAACAGGTAGGCTATACAAAAGACTAAATTGCAAAACTTAACGCTAATTACACAAGGACCAGTCAGATCGTAATTTCAACTATGCAAGAACTAGCTTATGGGAGTTCAATTTGCTATATTGAAAAGTTACAAAGCTAATTATTACATAAAAAAAATATTATAATGATTTATAATGATTAATGGTAAGGTAATGAAATAAAGCTAATAATACTGGATAGATGAGTTGTGTCCTAATAAACCAATTAAAGTTGTCAGCAAAAGAACTATATTGTCGAAAATACTTAGATGTAATATAAACACATAGATTTAAAATTTGAATGAAAGTAAGCATAATCACTATTAAGGCAATTTGAGAAGAAATTCCAAGATTCTGGGTAAAATTGAGATAATTAAAACTAGCTGACAGCGTAATTAAATGTATGTAAATAGTCGCATACCTTGGCCACAAAACTTCATCTGTTCTTTTGTGCTTGTAAGTATAATGGTAATACAGTAAGGAATACACAAGAAGTTATAAACACACAAGTAAGCTGAAGAAACATACTGTGTATTGGAATCCAATTAGCGTTGTTGTTGATCGCACAAAGCTGAAACACTGGCACAACACAAGCACAACACTAAAACACGAAGAAAACTCAAGGCATTAATTAATGAGGCACTTAGTTAAAGTGCACAAATTCGTTAGAAATAGTTTAAAAAAAAAAAAAAAACCCTATAGAAATGACCGATTTTCTCAATTTTTTTTTTCCCTTTTTCCCCTCTTTTTTTTAAACTTGTGTCGCGCAAACGATGAGATCGACTTTAGACATGGCTCTGTGAAGGTACGATGCTAATTAGTTGAGTAATTGAATTAATTAAAATCTTCAAGTACCTTGTATTGCCGAGGGAGGCAACTTTCTTTGGTTAACAGTCGTTAAGTCCGAAAATTAGGCGGAAAGTTGTAAAAATTCAACTAATTGTCCGATTAACTTGAAATTTAGAATCTTGTGTCATTCAGGCGATGAAAATAACTTCCGTCCTGGTACTATCAGGATCCGATTGTAATTAGCAGGGTTATGAAGATAAGTAAAAACTCTCAGTTCCCTTTGTTATCGTTAGTAGTAGTTAATTTAATGTTTTTGCATAATATAGTCACTTTTTGTTTCATGCATATGAGCTAGATTCTGTAACTCACCGTTATATGTTTTGACATTGTGCCCTATTCTTGATTTGATTCATTTTAATGTCAATTGAGTCTTCTTATATCGCATACATTGGGTCGTTACATCCCTCATTACAGCCCATAGATACTCTCTCCAGGACTTTCGCTGGTTACCTGTACCAAATGGAATGCTAAACGCTTAGCTTAATTAAAATGATATGTTAGTGATTAATGTTTTATAAAACTGCAGGTTTAGAATTCTAATATTTTTATAGCTTAATTTTAGCATATTTAAAACAGCTTAATTTTCTTCTCAATTTATTTGAGAGAAATCAAGTTCGTAAACTCCTATACCAGAGAAACATTTACTTGAAAAATTTTCAGTTTCATATCTTTGAAGGATAGACTAGGGCAAGAATGCCCACGAAGAAGTATGTGTAAGTATGTTTTTCAGTATGTTTTTCAGTATGTTTAAGAAGAAGTATGTTTTTCAGTATGTTTAAGAAGAAGTATGTTTTTCAGTATGTGTACCACGAAGAAGTCGCTTACTTTTATTCCCCTTACACATACTGAAAAACAAGAAAACCAACCATGGAGTTAGTATTTTCGCCTGAGTTGGAACTACCAACATTCAGCGGTCTTAACCCTTTGGCTACATTTGACGTATCAGTATGTCATGTATTTGTTTAGACAAAGACGCACATGGCATTCTGATACGTCATTGAAACTGAGACGAGACTAACCCTTTTAGCTGCATTTGACATATTAGTACGTCATGCATTTGTTTGGGCAAAGACGCATATGACGTTCTGATGTTCATTGAAATTGAGACGAGATTTAGCTAGCTCATTCTGGCTTGTTTCAAAGTAATGTGTATCTGTTGCAACAGAACAAATAATTTCAGTAGTTATTTAACCATTATTTGTTTAAAAGTATTTTGTAATACTAACTGCCTAAAGCTATTTCAGTATTATGTAGAAGTATATATAATGAATAATACGAAATAAGTTAATTCTTGCATAAAATCTACTGTTCTTACTTGCCCATAAAATTAAATATTTTCTAACTGCAAAAACATCTTCAAATAAATGTGTACCGAAGGGGTTAATTATTCGACTCCTGGTGAGGCTGACTTTTTCACTAACTCTTCAATCAAAAAGAAATATTTATTTTAAGTGAACATCTTCATGAGAAATATAAAGTAAACTGAATGAATGTAAATGTAAGGTTTAGAAAATAAATTTTTTACTATTTTCATTAATATTCATTTAAAAGATGTAATCATTAAGAAAGTTGTTGATGATGATGAACTATTACTAAACTTTAGAAATAACTATGTCCTTAATCATATAAATTGTTTATATTGATAGTCTGAAGTATGCAATAAAATAAAAAATTGAAAAAAATTCCCTTAATCATATACCTTGATACAGTTAGTTAAGATAAGTCATCTGTTACAAAGCTTTTGTTATTTAGCAAGTCTCAGTATAATATTTGTAGCTGCTTTACAAAACAAGAAGACAATATGAAGTATCTTTTGTTACCTCAACAAGTTCTAATGCATTAGCAATTTTTCACACGAAATTAGCATCCTATTTAATATGATTTTTGTTACTTCTTAAAAGTAATATGTACATTTTAGGGCAAAGTTTTAACCTAAGATTCTCATCAAACCGGTTGACATAATAGCTAGAAGCGCACATTATTACCGGTTGACAAAATAACCTAACATTCTCATCAAACCGGTTGACAGAATAGTGAAATATTATAATAAATGTTTCACAGCATCTTTATTTTGTTTAAATTAAAATTTTTGTTTTTTTACCACTGTTTAATAAATTAGTTTTGCACTGGTATTAATGAAATACTAATATTCATTTACTTCTACTCTAAATTTACTTCAGAGCTATTATTTGAATATTTTATAATTATAGAGATTGAAGTTAGTTTTCATACATCTAATTCTATGCTTAAAGTGTTTGTTTTTCACTCCTTATCTTCGTACATGACACAAATGAGTTAAAGATTGTCCCCTCTTGCAACTTGCTTTCTAATTTGCTTTGTTTTGAAGTAAGTCTGATTTGATATGAAAAATATTTTAGCCAAGACCATTATGAATAAAATCTTTTCACGTTCTATCGAATAAATGTTTTCTAAGTAAATATTTATCATGTATTCCCTGCATTTACTTCTTAATTCAAGGGAGCGCAACATTAGTTCTTTCGCAAATAGAAACATTATTGTCGGCACAATCAAAAGCTTTATTTTTACTCCTCGCAGTTAAATTAAATTTTCACTTTGTTTGTCTCATCTAAATATGTTCTGTAGGATATGTAAAAACTGACAGATGCTTATGGAAACAATTGTAATACAAATGCCATTACCTTTTAGTATTTCCACCAGAGTATCAAATTTTTAAATGAGTTTGAAACAATGACAAGTTACAGTTTTGCCATGCTGGTCGAAGATATCTTTTGCCCGTGTACGACTTAAGGGATTACATAATGTAAATTTTAAAAAGTGTAATTATATCTAGGATTGAAGAAGGGCAACTGATGTTTTGTAATTTAGTTTAAATTCCAAATACGAATGCTTCAATATTTTGTTGAAATGGTTGAGGGGTATAAAGAATTACTGACCGCAAACATGAAGTTGTCCACCTCTTCCGCAATGTCTTCCAGAGTGAAACTCTCGTCTTTGAGATGCAAATCGAGAAGCAAATCCAGCAAAGCCAGACGGCGCCGGCATTTACGGCCGATCATCTCGTCATCCATCGCACCATTTTCGTGATCACGTACTTCGCGTTCTTTCAGTTTTTCTTCTTTCCGTTCAACCACAACCTGAAACAGCATAATTTAAAACCGAATAAATCCAAGTTCTTGGTAGGACACTTTACATTTTCTTCCCAATTTATTACACATTGTACTACATCATATTCCACGTACAATCATAATATGAAGTTCTTAGAACAACTGTCAAGTATAATTTTATTATCATTCATTGTGATTAAAAAAAATGCTTCTTTAAAATAAATTACAGACATTTGTAGATAATAAAGGTACATTTATAAAGTAAAATTGCATATAAAAGATATCTAAAAAATAAAAAACATAATCCATTAAATTAGTGAAAAAGAAATTAGAAACTCAGAAATTAAAACAAGACTGGAAAATACTAAATGCATAAACATTTAAACTTTGAAAGCTAATTTATAAGCAAACTTTATAAGAATCGTTTTAATTAAAAAAATTAGAAAGCCGAAAACTTTAATCATAGCATATTAGAAGAAGACGTAAGAATGACGTAAGAATTTTTTTATAACAGTTTGGTGCCAATGCTAAGTTTAAATGATTTATGCTCTCCAGTTCTCTTATGTCTGAATAGTTTAAGTTCCGTTTATATACAATAGGACTGGAAATTTTAAATATACTTTTCACTGCATTCAGCGAGGTAGTGAAGTTTTTATGTTAGGGATTGTTAAAATTGATTTTGAGGGAAAATTCTTTAAAAAGCAAAAAATGTATTAAAAATAATAAATTATTATATTATTTTAATAATTGTTAATTTAATTAATTCATAAAAAATAATTATAAAAAATAATAAATTTTTGCTAATTAATGGTGGAGATTATTCTGATTGCAATTTTGCACTTGAAAAAAAAAATTGTTTACGATTAGAGTTCCGAACTATTAAAATAGAGTTAATTATTTCGCAGTTATCTTTGAATAAAAAGTATGCCGAAGAAAAAACATATAATAAAACAGTACAATGATAAAACATCCCATGAGGTGGTTTGAAATAGAAAGGTTTTACCGAGAAATTTTAAAGCTGATATTAGATACTTCTTTTGTTGTATGGGAAAGGTGGAAAAGAATAATGGTATATGATTAATTTGAAGAAGGAACAAAATCGAAGAATCAGCGTAATCCGTAACTGATTTGATGTATGAGCAATCATCTTTCTTGCCATCAAAGAAAAAGCAAAAATAGATTCGACATAGCAAACAAAACAGATGAAAAAGAATTTTTTTTTAATATTTGAATATAATAATAAGAATTATTAATGCATTACATAGAACTGTTTTTTTTAAAGAGCGGAAAAGGAAACATCAGTAAAATTTCTTTTTTTTTTCACATAAAATGTATGAACAATAAACTTATTGCTGCGTAAATTAATATTAAAAAATAATTTTTATCACATTTCTGTCTTCATATCAGTGTTATTTTAAGAAACTTCGTGAACTTCTGAATCTATAATTCTATATTTCTTACACATTTTTTAAACCTAGAAGTGCAAGCAACAGACAGAAACATTTTTTCAATCAGAAAACACTTAAAACGTGTAGAAAAATAATTTAAATTGAAGATATCCAGTGAATTTATATGGAAATATTTGACATGAAAATTTAACTAAATTAAAAGAAGACAAAGTATTTTGTTGAAATAATTTGGAAATCCCATACTAACTGGAATGAACTAGTTTAACAAACTTTCATTCTAGTTATGATTTCTTTAGTTAGGACTTTTAAGTAACTGAACGTATTTCTTCAATAAATACGTTTTCAGAATCTAATGATTTCTTTCAGCTCAATTGAATTAACCACATGTGATTACAGTGCAAGTAACATTTATATGTATTATTCACCTAGTTTCAATTTTCCTTCAGCTGTGTGAATTGCAACATTTAAACAATTGTCATTTTCTTGATAGTTTTTTAAATAAATAAAACGAGGGACCTTCTAATACACCTTTTAAATGTTTAAAGTTAAATAATTAAAATTAATGGGTATATATTCGAGCCGCCCAACCTAGTAGCTAGCGTCGCTGATTACCGTACCGAATGGCCCGAGTTTGAATCCCGGAGAAGGTATAGATGTTCGTAAATGTAGAGCGTCTGTGCGGTATGGGGGCAGTCTAAATATTGGGCGAGCAGGAAGTTCTCTCGAGAGGTTGGTGTTAAGGGACGAGGGGTGGAAGATCCTCTGACCCGTCTTCCGGGGGTGCCTTTCAGCAAAATTGGGGGCGGAACTGAGCTGAATCGAACTGTAACATGTAAGGTGTTCAAGCCTGTTGCCAACGATAGGGGTAAATTTGCTCTCCTTGCCTGAGGAATTTCGTGGGATTGGCTTGACTATAGGTCAGACAAGCGAGCATTAGCAACAACAGGTATATATACAGAATATTTTTAATTAGTGTCTTTCCTAAAGGAAAAGCAAATAGTGAATTAAAAGTCATTTGAAATTACTTTATGTCTGCAAAAAACGTCTGAACTCCTTCACAAGCAAGGCGTATAATAATAAGTAATGATAGTAATAAAAAAAAATGTTTCTGCATTCTAATGCACATTTTCTGATTCAGACAATGCATTTAAATACCATAATGAACTGAACCGTGCCTTTGGTAATTTTCCGCTTCAGGGCTTAGTATAAATATCCATAAATTACAGCTACAGACACGAATTTCATAAAGCAGTATTTCGTACTATGCACTTGATTGAATATACGTCTATAATAATGCCAATGCAACTTTTATTTTTAAAATTAAGTATGCAAATTCCGATTACCGTAGAGTACTCGTATATATTTATTTTCACAATAAATGAAAGAAAAGACTAGTTTTTAAGAAATTGGTGATTAGTTATGAAGAAATTTCTGGAAAATGTGTAGAAAATTTTGGAAGTAATTCGTTTCATGTGAGAGATCTTTTAAAAATTTTCAATGCAGGGACATCACTCTTACTTTCTCTTTATATATATATACTTTGTAAATCTAACAAATTTACCACTGCTTTGTCTTTCTGTTTTTCTTACAATTATAAGTATCGATTGAAAATTAAATAATTTCTATTATTGAAAGAAAAATTCTGAAGTTTTGTAAGTAAGTTTTTATCTTTTTATTTATTTTTCTTTTTTTAAGTAAGTTATTTTGAGCCAATAACTTTGCTTTCGTTAATTTAGTTAAAACATATTCTGAATAACATTTACATTTGACACATGTCGCTTTCAATCACAGATAAGTAGTTTGATCTCGCTCATTGAAACAATTTTTTGTGCGTTCATAAACCACGTTCGTAAGTGAAGGAACCAGAAGTATGACGTTTACATTACGCTGTAATTGATTCCAGTGGTGACGATTGGGCTTCTTCAGGTAATTAGAGAACAAATATCTGTAAAAATGTGAACATTTTAAGACTTTTTATGGCAAAAATATTGCGTATGGTATTTTATTATTCATTAATAAAAACTACAACTAAAACTTCATGTTTTAAATTAGGTTAAACTCGAATTTAAACTGACTTTAATTTTAAAGAAAAAAGTTTGCACTTTGTGATAATTGCTGCAGAAGTTTCTTTTCAGAAACAAACAAAACAAATTTTGAGCCATACTACCTGAATTCCATTGGTTACACATACAAAATAAAAATAAGGAAATAATAATATAGGAACAATTATAGCGCGATGTATAAAATCCCAAATTAGAACTGAATGTGATATATATATATATATATATATATATATATATATATTAGCCATGTGTATGCATGTATGCAAAATCCATGCATGGATGTAACGATGGCTGTCATGTACAAGTGAAAGAACTAGATAGTTATACAGCTCGCATATCTTTTAGACCTCTTGAGAACGGGACGGAAAGGAAATCATAAACTGAATTTGAAAGATTTCGATGAATGATGTTGCAGGCTTCAGGAAATTTAACTACGCAGCATAGGAAATGTTTGGATTAAATTTAGATAAACTAAAGTTAAATTAATGGTTAGAGATAGAAGACTCCTAAATTTATAATTCTTTCCTGAAAGAGGTTTCATGTGCTTTAACGCAAGATTTCGAAGTTCTCTTAATCTCACCTGTGAATGTTAAAGTATTCGACTGTTTTGTGAATAACAAAAGACAGAAATCAGATGACCGTAAGGTTATTGCAGTTGTTTCTACTATGTGAATGCTAAAACAGAAAAAAATAATTGTAAGAGTGCAAAAATATGAGATTATAAATATTGATTAAGAAAAGAATAGAGTGCATACTAACATTTCTCATAAGATGGTTCCAAACATGATGGTTCTCATGAGGTTGTTCAAAAGAGAAAAGTATTTTCGAGAAGTTTTAGATCTGAAATCAGATTGCTCGCTTGATATGTTAAAAAGAGAAACAAGCTAATGATTCGCTAAATGATTCATTTCAAGAAGAAACTAAATGGAACGATCAATGTATTTTGAAACTTGTATGAAAAATCCTCCTTCTTACCATAAAAAATGCAAAATAATGTTATAAATATTGAGAAAAGAAACAGGAAAAAAGTTTATTTTTATGTAATTTTTAATCTTTGTTGGGCTGCAAAGCATATGTGGCCTGCTTGCTGATGGAGAAGATACTACCTTTACAGAAGACATTCCGTGCTATCTCATATTAACAACATACATACAGCATGTGCAACACAAGACCAACGGCCTGATTCTAACGGCAGGCGAAGGCTGTTCCAAACATAACTGAATCTGGCTGTTAACTGTTGAAATTTGAACAACAAACATTTGTAGTCAAAATTAGTCAAAATACAGCACAGCTTTGTTCTGAAGACAAAAATCAAGGATATTACACTAATTGATTTTATTAAAAACCATTTTCCACGTGACGAGTGCCCAATGCTGACAGCCTTTGCCTTGTAAAAAATGACGCTAGTTAGAAGCAACTATAAATGTTAGCAACATTTTTCAAGGGTGAGCTCGTGAAAACCAAGACACAAATTACTGTCAAAGTTGCGAGAGACTGAAATTACGAAAGACCACTGTAAAATTCTGCAGAAATATTAGTTCATGATTTGTATTCAATAGTCTTAAAAACAGTTCATTCTTCAGCTGGAAAACAAAAAGATATGACTACACATGCCATGAAAAGCTTCATGTTAACTGTACCATTGTAGAATCATTAGGATTTTTTGGAAGCAGGAAAGATAGAAAATGAGCAACGCCTTCTCCGGGAATCGAACCATAGGCCTCTGGAACACGCGCCCAGCGTGCAGACCACCACACCACAAAGGCATGCCCAAGAAGGTGGCAGAAATACCTTATATGCTCTCCCCTTTTAAAAGACGACTGGGGTTTTTACGGGACCCAATCGCCAAATCTTGGGTGTGGAGGATCAGTTATGTTTGAACCACCCTTTTAGTTCGGGCGCCTTTGTAGAGACGTTAGGATATTTTTTGGAAGCAAGAGAGACTGAAAAATGAGCAACGCCTTCGCCGGGAATCGAACCACAGACCCCGGAATACGCGCCCAGCGTGCAGACCACCACACCACGAAGGCATGCCAAGAAGGCGGGAGAAATACCTAAGCTCTACATAATAGTCTAGAAGGTAATAAGAAGCTCAGAGGTATGGCATCCTATGAATAGATTTCTGTAAATAAAGCTTTGGAATATCTTATGGAGATAAAGAATGGAATAGATTTGTGTTAAAAATAAAAAGATACTCTATGTTTATCCTTTCATAAAATGCATAGAGTTTTCTAGACTCCAACTTTTTCTATTCTAAAAATACGAATTTAAGAATGAAATTTGCTTAAATTCTATACATATCTGCAAGTATTGCTACTGGATATTAAGGATGTCCAACACTTAACATGCAGATTGTGGACAAAAAAAAATGTCATTAGCGTTCCTCATTTTCAATTCATCAAATTTTAAGTCATCAGAAATCACAATATATGGAGTACATTTAAATCATTAAAATATTTCATCTGGTTGAAAATGTTAATCTTCTTTATCTGTTATATTATACACATTAATTTGTAAAAATGTAGGTCTACTTACGTTGAGAGTGAAACCATTTCTTCTTTATGGTATTTAAAAACTGCTTAGGAAGTTAAATGCTTCATAGCTTTCTAAAATTAACTGCATAAAACTAATAAGACGTACTGAAGGACAGGAATAGTTAATACCCAAATATTTTCGCAAGGGATTCTCAACAAATGGGTATAAGAGGGCATTTCATATCTTCAGGGGATGAATACGCTGACACTTTTATTTACCTGTTAAAAATTTTAATTTATGAATATAAAAAAACTACTTTTATGCAAATTTTGATATTTATCAATATTTTTTATATTTTTCCTTGTTTAATTTATAAAACACGTTAAAAATAATCTAAATTTCAATAAATGAATATGTATATTTCGAGCTTGGTAAAGGGGGTGGAGGAATGATCGTAACTAGGCAAAAGGGGTAAGGTTAAGAATCACTGAAATATACCCTTTTTCCCTTTTGTGTTAGAAGAAAATAACTGAAGCTTGACTTGTGCTGCCATCTACTGCGGAATGGGTTAAATATAATCAAGAGTTTACATACACGTACAAAATATTCACCTGTCTCGTAAAGTTATCCATGATTTCTAAGCAATTTTTGAAAGTTTTGCCTTCGGTTGTTCTGTAATAAATGAAATCGGGCCACATCCATGGTCTTAGGAGTCTGTCAGTTGCAGCTTTGCATAGTCTAAAGAAGAAAAGTATTTGAATTCAGGTGACAGGTTAACAAATTTCCTATGAAATATAATATGATACAAACGAAATTTCTTAAAATATTTGTCTCATTATATATCATATTTATGCTTTTTAAATAGAACAAATAGTACAAATTGTTGTTAATCACAATTCTCGTTAATCACAATTGCTGTTAATCACAATTTATTATTAATCACAATTTACTTGTGCAGAGCTTGTACATAGGGAGATGTACTGTTTCCTTGTGCGTTAATCTTCTTACCCATAGCAGTTTCTGAAATAATGAAAAATGAAATAAGTTTTTGTTTGCTTAAACTATTAAAGCATGTAATTTAAATTAAATGTCAAAAGATTTATATACTATTAGGATATTAGGAACGAGTTGGATTATGTATGCTACCAATAAAAACAACTTGATAATGAAATATACGTGGAACACTTTGAAAACTTTAGAAAATAATAAGTATAAATTTAGAAATACTCAAAATTATTTTTACTTATATAGAAAAATAATTAGACTTCTTATAATAATTTAAACAGAAAACATAGTTTAGAAGACTATGTTTATGTTCTAAATTCACTCAAAGATATTAAATGTTAAAATCATATTACTAAATGCTTTAAAAACTAAATTTAAATTTAAAATGTCTACATTTTTTCAAATATGTAAAACCTTTTTCTTTTTCTTTTTTTTCTTTCTTTCTTTTTTTTTTTTTTTTTTTTTTTTTTTTTAACATTTAAACTGTGATAACTGCAGTTTTTTGAAAACATTTTGTGAATGCTGAACCTATATGAAAGTATATTTGAAAGTTAAAATTTTAAAATCTCAGGAATAAAAATTATTGAGTTTAAAAAGCTCTCGAAATATTTTACTGCATCAGCAATAAACTGATCATAACTAATGATTTTACAACCATTACAAGCTCTGATCGGCGCTGTAGTTTTTGTTTGTGGCTGTTATATCGTTCGTTGAGTTCGAGTTCGGATGGACGTTCTTAAATATAGTATATTCTGAATAGGTCAAACAAGTGAGATAAGTCACAAACAAAAAATAAACATATCGTTGAATCATTTTAGTGGAATTTAGTTGAATTTTAGTTGAATCAATTAGTTAAGAAACAGTTTTCGTTTAAAATATCAGTGTTTGGTTTGAAGTTTAATATAAAAAATCATGGAAGAAAATGTTTTGATTTATAAAAAAAATGTAGGAATATTTATGAATATTATTGCAACATAGAAAGCATAGCATTTGATAGAGATTTGTTGATAAGTGAAAGTAACTAATTACAATCACACTTTATTTGGTAAATTAAAAGTTATACCTCGAAGACTAAAGTTTTTTGTAATAAAATTATTCTTCAGGTATAGGCTTTGCCATAATCAAATAAACCGAAAACTGATTCATAAAAAGCAATTAAATTAGGAATTTATTTAATATCTCGATCACATTAACGATAAACTTTAAATCAAGCAAAACACAATTTTTCTTGGCACTATATAAAAACTAAGTAACTGTTGATTAATTAAAAATAAATACCTTATTAAGTGGTGCTGTGTATTATTCTATACCAAGATGCATACCATAAAGTCTAAAATCTTTTTTCATTACAATAATTTTGCAAATGTTTATAAAAACTATTAATTAGGCACAGGATTATAAATCATAAATATGATTATAAATCACAGGTTAGTGTATTGTAAACAACACCAATCATATATATTATTAAAAATTAAAAACAAGCTAAAAAATAAGAAATAAATTAAAAAAATTCTAAAGAAAATTAGATACATATGTGCAGTGCTTTTAAATCAGTTCAGTATGGTAAGCATTGGTTTAAATTGAGAAATTATTTAAAGTGGCACGTCCGAAGGGCAACGCCTCAAAAACCTCCACATGCAATAGGCAGCATGAATGGTAAATTAAAGATAATATGTTGCATAAAAAACGGCACATTTACAAATCAAGCGGACAATAAATGTCCTAGTAACGTAAAAAACACCTAGTAACATTAATTACTTTTGTTATATCTTCAAGCAGTGCGATATCGTTATTTGCAGATCTGCAAATTATACAGAAAAAATTAGTTTAGAACCACTTAAGTTCACATTAAAATTAATATTAAACATTATTGTCGTTTCACATGATGCACAACTTTAATTGAAATCAAAAAGCTAAATTAAATCACGTTTTCTTTTTACATAATATCATTCATTAAGTTTCTTGAGCTTTATTTTGTACACACGAATTTTCACTATTGGTTATAATTCATTTGGATAGATGGCGCCACGACTCTGAACAGATACAAACCCACTTTCATTGCGTAATTTATAAGTTTGAAGTGACAGGTAATTGTGGCAGCCTGTCATTAGCGGAAACATTAAAGAAAAAATAATCTTATTTCTAAATGGACTCTCGTGGTTTGTTTTCATCATATACTTGTGATATTTATGAAAATTATTTCCCATTTCCCCCTGATATATAGATTTTGTGTTAGTACCCCCGCTACAGGGCTTTTCATTACATTAAGTCTATTATCTCGTCTGACACTTCCTGTCCATTCCATTACTTATTTTTTTGAGAGAATTGCTTTCAGGAGTTTCCAGTTTCATATATGGAAATCCTTTTGAATATAGCAGCAGAATTCGTACGCAACACTGCAACACATTTGCACTTTATCGGATTTTGTAAGCCAAATTAAAAATTATTTCGAGTGACACATTTTCTGAAAATTGTTTAAGCATTACCAGTTCTGCCATATTTATTTAAACATTTAATTAATATTATAATACACTACATTGCACTTTACAAATGATAATGTTGCAGTTAAGCTACACAAAACAAATCAAATCAAATATAACAAAGTATATCTTTCTTTCTTTTCTTTTTTTAATAATATAGAAACACATTCCAAGAAACTATTAAAATGCTGTGATTAATAATTTTCACTGTAACGTTATTAGTGCTGTATTTAGTGCAAATATGCAATTTATTCTAAAAATCTGGACACATTTGAAAAAGTTATGTAATAGCAACAAACTGACGCAGAAAATGCTGTTTGCACTTACTACGTTTGGTGTGGGAGGGGCTGAGAGAGGGGTGAAATGAAGAATGCTTTTTTGGGAGGTAGTCATTAGGTAAACTCTAGTTCAAATTTTTATCATGGCGCTGTTAGTATCATATTTTACGAACACAGTGACATCAAGCTTTGATTCATTTGCATTTATGAGAATACTACGAATAATTCAGCAGCCCATCACAAGTTCTCGATTATAAATCTTGTTTCAATGGATTTTAATTTGCATATGTTTGCAGTCGACTGTATAACACCAACTGTCAGAAAACATTTGATATATTTCATAATAAAAAAGGGGGAATTCTCTCCTGGGCATGGGAGTAGCTAGAGGGAGAAAAGGAGGCATCTGCCCCTGGGCTCAGCAGCCAGGGGAAGCCAAACTGATGTTACTAAATTTTAGAATTAAATATTTTCCATTCTTAGCAAACAGCAAGAGGCGCGAAATCTTCAGCTGTCCCTGGGTGCTGAGAACTTTATCTAGGACTCTCCTCCTGGGGGAAAATTTCATAGTTTCAGAGGGGTCGTACTATCGGTCGTACTATCCAGTACCGATCCTAGACTGCCGGCCGCCCACGTGCAAATAAAAACTATCCGCCCTTTTTTACGGAAATATAATATGTTTTATAATCATTTCATCGCCCTTAAATGTGGTCGCCCACGTACTGTGCACCATCTTGGCCTTCTCTAAAATCGGCCCTGGCCTTTTCTTTAGATATTCAAGTATCTAATTTTAGTTTATAACTATATAGGGTTCCTCACTTTGTAAATGCTACGTTACAGTTAAACGTGAAGAATCTTAAGAACTAGTAAGCGAATAATCGCTTGAGTTCGTGCAACAAGAAACAACAAGATGGAAGGGTAAATAACCCTTTATTATTCAGATAAGTTTTAACATAACTCCGTCTTGGAGTGTACAATAAAAAGCCGACACTTGGGCTTGAACTTAAGAGGCTAAGAAGTAAACTAAAACTAATCTAAACTAAAGAGATGTAGCCTAAGCTGTCAAGATTCTAACCGAGTTGGCTCTTAAAGCTAATTTACTACGAAGCTATCAAGCGTAATAACAGCTTTGCGAGAGAGTAGCCAGAAAAAGCAGACGCGCGCTAATCAGAAACTCTGATTCTCTCTAACTCAGAAAGTAGAACTTCGCGTTTAAATACAGCTCTTCCTCATTATGTATTCACACGTGATTCTAAAAATGCGTCCTGGCCGGAAAGAGTAAGTTAAGAATTTGACAGGAAAGAAGTTCAACTCAAAATTTAACTGTTAATAAAATTAACATAATCCTTACAACTATATTAAGCAAGTTTCGGTATTTCTCAAAGTTTTTTTAATACATAAAAGCACGCTAAAATCACAACTAATGAAGTTAAAACATACTTTTCTAAACAAAGTATATTTTAATTTTTCCATTCATTTGGTTTGAGAAAAATCGAGTTACGAATTCCATAGAGAAATCTTTTATAAGCTCTTCAGAGAACAGGAATCTCTTTTAGTACACTGGTTATCATGTTATCATAAATTAAGAAAAAATCCCACAAATAGCGATAATTCTCTCAAAAATAAGCCAAACCGTGTAAAATTTTAATATGTTGCCAAGTAAGTGTAGCTGAGTAAAACTGCAATATGCAAATTAGTGGCACTGCACTCGGAATACGTCATCTGCGAGGAGAATAAAAGTCCATGTTTGAGAGCAAGCCCACATATTTCACTGTGATAGTGACGTCAGAAATCTGAGATAGCCAATTAGTAACAATGACCTCCAGGCATCATTTGCCTGCAGAACTACGATGGAGAGCCATTGGGAAACTAGAGGTAGGATAAAGTCAAACAGAAGTGGCCAGATGGCTAAATAGACTATGGAGGCGATTTCAAACCACAGATTCGGACTCTAGGAGCTTCAACCAAGGACGGCCATCTGCTACGACGAGCGATGATGAATGATTTTGACATTATATGCACGCAGGACTAGAACCACTACTCCGACTCTTCTTAGATACTCCCTTGCTGCAGCCACCGGAAGGTTGGTGTCAACGTTAACTGTGTGTATAAGGCTTAGTAGGCACGAGAACATGTCCACTGGACGCTTGATCAGTGGAGGGCTGTTCTCTATACGGATGAGTCCAGGTTTAGTCTAGAAAGTAGAAAGCGATAGTATGCGTTATTTGATATGGAGAGAACCTGGAACCCGTTATCACCCGTCAAACATCCGTTAAAAAGATGCATACGGAAGAGGCAGTGTCTGCGTTTGGGGTGGCATCTCTTTGGGTGGACGCAAAGACCTCCATGTCTTTCCATCGGAACCCGTGAATGCTTCTGGTTTATAGAGATGACATCCTTGATGCTTATGTGCGCCCATGTGCCGAGGACAATAAGTGATGCTTTCCTGTTACAGGACTGATAACTTAAGACAACACAGGGCTCGCATCGTAGAATGATTATTTTCAACAGGAAGCAATTATGCGCATGGAGTGGCCCAGATCGATCCCCGGACTTGAATCCTATCGAGCCCGTTTGGGATGATTTAGAGAGACGTCTAGCTGCTTCTCAATCTGCCCTCCTCAGACCCTTGCCGCCCTTGCCGCCCTTGCAACAGCTTTGAAAGAGCAATGGCTCTCGCTTCCTATGGAACTGATAGATCGCATAATTGAAAGCATCACGCATCACAGTATGTGCTGTATTGCTTCTAGAGGCGAACATATTCCCTATTGAAGGTACGTTTCCTATAGATTTGTTCATTTTATACATGTGCTAATTTCTATACTACCATAATTGTCTGGTAATTTCTTTTTATGTTATTTGATACCTTACTATGTGTTGTATATTGCGGGTAAGTTTCATAAAATTCTACATGTAACTTTTTCAGTAATCGTGATTTTTGTGATTTTCTTTAATCTTTGTGATTTTCTTTTGTGATCTTCTTTTCTTCAGTATACATGGTAAAAGAGAGAAAAGCAACCTCGAATGAAAGCATGTCAGTGAAAACAGCAAACCGATACAGTTTTGAATATTTGCTATGGTGCTGATGCTGTTTAGGCAGTGTCGCATTAAGAATAAAAAACGCCCTAAGCACTTTAATGCCCCTACATACATTTACAGTATAAAGCCCAGTCCTTTTTCCCATTCTTTCGCTCTTGGATTTGGTTTAGCTGCACCATTTATTCAATGGCAAAACCTGCAATTAGAAATTTTTGTGGTGAAACATTCCTTGGACCCTAAGTAGCTTTATGTTGTGCATCCTACTTTTGATTCCCGAAGCTCGTGTTTGTTTGTTTCGCTTAATAGTGAATCCATCTCTCCTGGTTGGTCACAGATGATCGGTCATAAACTCTCTGAGAACAAATACATGAAGAAAGGCAAAGGTAAAATTTAGCAGAAAAACCAATCAAAACTTCACGTTATTTGGAATTTAGCTGAACGTGATTCAACATGGTAATATACTATTTTGAAATGAGTTCTAAAATTCTGAAGCCACATTTAGTTGAATCAACACGCATGAAACCATAAGTAATATTTCTTTGATAACCTATAGGTTATATAACCAGACCTATATATAGTCAAGACAATAGCGACAGTTTATAAAACCTATATAATAATAGTTTATATAACCTATAATCATAGTAAAAATTAAAAGTTGCTTATTTTTTTCTGCGACATTATTTGTGATTACATTTAGCATCCTTCAAAATTCCCACTTGAAAATATTTTAATTAAACAATATGATGGAAATATTATGCTCAGAGACAGGTAAAAGCTCTAATCTTCAATCTTGATGTTTTTAGTAATTTATTTATGTTGAGCAAAACCTTTTAATACTGAGCAAGTTTCAGTTTCCGTTATCTATCAGTTAAGTTCGGTATTTAAAGTCATCTTCGTGAAAGAGATTTCATTCTTACTATATATTTGTTCACGAATACAATGTGGTCATTAAAATGGTTTTTATGTTAATTAACCAATTATCTTATTATTTTGTCTGCTTCCATCAAGATGCAAAATAGTTAATGTATTAAGGCGCACAGTTCTTGATTCGAGGGTGCGAAATTTTGATAACCATGTCTCCCAATGAGTAAATTACTTAAATCGGCTTTAACTCTGCTAGCCATACTTGCTTCGTGAAGTATTAAGGACTGAGCCAATGCTTGGCAGGCGAGCTTTACTTTGTGTTTCATATTGGAACTTGACTTCAGCATCCGTTTTAATTTCCCGCAAGCTGCGGAAATTTTACTTTCTATTATGCATAGCGTAACCGTCATGCTGGAAAGTAAATACAAATCTTTATTTTAAACCTTCATCTCACTTAATTTTTCTGTGCTTTAGAAGTTACTGTGATAAATCGTCTGATTGTCAGACGATAAATCTTTCGACTGTTTTTACGTTAACTTAACATTTAAAATGCTGTTGAAGAGAACAGCTTTGCACATTATAAATGAAGCATCAGTTATTACTAAAAAATATGTTTGTACATTTGAGCAATGATATCAGGATATCTGATTAAAATTAAATTATTTAGTTAAATAAGGAAATGAGTGGTTATCAGTCTTACAAGTTTAAGTTTTAGTTTAGTTAAGTGGGGTTTAGGTTAAGAGAAGTTCGATTAATCGCACAGAAGTCGAACTACAAAGCAAAAAGAATCAAGGTAGAGCTGAAACCAGGTTTATCTGAGGTCTCTAACTAGAAGAATGATACCTTACTTGCGAAGTAATCACTATGAAGAAAAATGACTGCGACCCTTTTGACGTAAAGTGGATATACTGTGTGTTTATTTTAATTTCTATCCCTTTTTGTCGACAGATTTAGTTTTAAGCTGCCAAACTCCTTCAATTTGTACCTTTGTTTTATGGAATTTTACTGATTAGCTGGAACAAATTTAGATCAAACTTGAAAAAAAAAAAAAAAAAAAAAAAAAGGCTTCATTTCATTCAAAGGTTAAATGCTCCTTTTTATAATAATTACTCAGTTAGTTAACAAGCATCTGTTTACAGGAGGCGTTCTGTAACAGATTTTGGTGTCTCAGAGTTTGGTTTTCATGTTTATCACGTATCAAATATGCAGGATCATCTTGAAAAATCAAAACGAAAGGATAAAACATTGAAGCTGGTAATATAAAATAAGATTAGGTTACTTCCTTGCCTTGAATCCCAACCCTGTTTTGCTGTCGTTGTTTTCCAGCTGAATGAAGTAGTTTGCATTTTAAGATGTACAATTTTCTAATGGTATGAAATAGAGCAGGTCTGGATAGTAACCTTTCTTGATTGTGTATTTAAAGAGTGAAACTTTTACGTTAAACTTCTATGTTATGAACTGTCCTATTGAAAATACACGATGCTTGCTCAATATGTGAGGAAAATATAAATTTTACACATATATTGTTAACTTTTTTTCGCAAAGTTTGCCGACATCCAGTTCATCCTCCGGTGTTACTGATACCTTGTCATCGACCTTTCTCAGCACTTTCTCAGAGATCAGATCTCTCTCAGAGATCTTTCTCTACTTTAAGAAAATGAAACTTAGACTTACCACATATGATATCTAATGTGCACAATGAAGTCAGAGGAGCAATATCAATCCAAGTTTCCTTCGCTATCCGTGCGGCGATCTTAGAAGCAAAAATTTGAGCCTGCTCATTAAAGATCGGTATAAACTCATCTAAAATACGGAAATGGAAGGCTGGTGTCAGGAGTTTCCTTCGGTATCTCCATTTGTTTCCCTTGCTGATGAACGAAAGAAAATTGAAATAAAAGAACTCGCTCTGTACAGACAAATTACAACAATTTTATATCAGTATAAAAAATTTCAAATTAAAGGAAGGCGATATACATTATATTATTCCTTACTTCTGAAACATGAATGTGCTACATGCATACAGACAAGAAGCAGTGCTATAATTTAGGATTCTAACTGCATGGAATTACTATAGGAATAAAATATTACAGCAGTTATAAAATGTATCCTGAAACTTAAATCATTAATGAAGAAGAAGCATGTTCAAACATGAAACATACATTGTGCCATAAAGAATAACCCTATGGCATGATGTTTAGATAACCTAGCCTAAATAACTGTTGATTATAATAGTTAAATATAAAAATCGTAATTAATACATGCATTTCTCGAAGAGATTTGAGATTATGCGTTTTACTGAATATTTGCACTCAGTGGTATTGCAGTTTTTTTCCACTTTACTAAAATCTTTCCTCATCAGTTAATATTTAAAATATCCTATACATTTCTTTTTTTGGGGGGTGGAGAAATTTTTCTTCTTTAACCAGAAACGTCAGTAGTGACTTCAAAGCGCTTACTTGGTTTATGTAAAAAATAAAATATGACAAATTACTTAATCTTTCCTTTTTTTATATTTTGTTGTCTGTAAGATTTACAACTGAACATATTTTACAAATTCTCTCAGTCGAATTGTCAATTTTATTTTGAATATAAATCAATATTACTTTCAAGCAAATTAGATAGTCGATGATTTGCATATATATATATATATATATATATATATATATATAGTAGATAGTAGTAAATTAAAAAATTTGTGAGACCCCATTTGGCGATGAAACCCCACTTCTGGTTACCATGATAGTTTAACTTTGTTTTAGCTTCCTGATTTTTTTTTTTAAAGTGAAAACAGATAGACGTGTACTTGGAGAAAGTTAAGGCAGTGCGCAATGCCTAGTTTGTGCAATTCTTTGGTTTTCTTAAAGTGAAAATAGATCGACGTGTACATGGACACCGAGTTTGTGCAATTTTTTAACTTCTTATTTTTTGTGTAGCGGCCATCTTGAAATTGTGCCTTCCTGGCGCCGAACTTGGCGTCAAAAAAGAATCGCCAAAAAAACAAGGGGCGCCCAATAGTAAACTTTAACCGAAATATTTACTGTATAAAATATAGAACAACTAAATACTTTGCTGGAAAAAATAGAGCAAGATATTTTGCTTGTGAACAGCATTTAAAGATCAGCAGCTTGATTTCAGAATTTTCTCGCAATAATCCATTTGCAAGATAGTCAACTTCTTATAGTTTTCACAGATCTTTGCGTGAATATTTATTACGTTGCTCAAAACTTATGCTTGCAGCAGGAGTCAGGTTCAAATTATTATTTGAACGAAATTTAACAAGTAATTTTATCAAAATTAAATTTTATCCACGTAAATTTCGTCAATCGTAATCAAGACTTTTATATGGTGATATCCGTAAAGATATTCTCGCATTACTTAATGAAATGAAGTAACTTCTTTAAAGAACCTGATTATCATTGTACTTTTTCTACTGTGTTAATTTTTGTGCGTTTTAAAACATATAGTGGCTGACAGACGAAAAAGCGGACCGTATTTGGGAAACACCTGTCACTAGGGGCGTTGACAGTTTTAGTAGTTTCTGTTTCGAAACCAGAAGCGTCTTAGATAGCTAGAAGGGCTAAAATCAAAACAATTACTAAATTAGAAGGAAATCCTTGAGCACAGTAAGATTCAAAACAGTTCAACAGGGTGTCTTAATAATAATATAAAAATTTTGGAAAATTAAATCGAAAGAATGTTGAAATAGCTCGAAAGTGATGTATTACGTTGTAACGGCATAAAATGTACGTAATTAGTTTGAAAGTAACTTATAAATATTTTTAATAATTATAAATATTTAATTTGCAAATTATTGTATTATCATTTTTTGGCAAAAGTTTTTTCCTTCGGAATGCAATCTGTTAAAAATAAAAGAAGATGAGTTTTCTTACTACTGAGTTGGTGAATAAAATTATATTTCGTGTTGATATGGTTATGTTTTTATTTTTTTTTGTAGTTCAGTCAAACATCTCTGGAATAGTAAAATTTTGTCTGCATCTTTTTACGTTGTAATAGTTGAGGATTCATAACAGGCGCACTTATAACGTTATATGATTTCTGGATCTATACTTTTTTAACTTAGATTCATCAGAACAGTTTTTTCTATTGATATTTTCTCCACCAGGAACTTTATTTCGAAAATTTTCTATTAATATGGCAATGTGAGATTTCTTCACATTGTACCTATGGGTTAAATCTCTCAAATATGATTTTAAATATTTGTTGCTTTCCTGGTCGGCGCTGTAGTATTTGTTCTTTTTAATATGACAGTGTGATATTTTTCACATTGCATCTATTGGTTAAATCTCTCAATTACGATTTTAAATATTTTCTGCTTTTCTGACCGGGGCAGTATATTTATCAGTATACTGCCCAGCTCAGTATTTGTTCTTATCTCTAAAATGGTGAAAAGTTGGAGGTTTTTATCAAATTTCGAGCAGATTTTTGAGAAAGTTAACTCTGCACCTTGGGGCCCGGGTTAGAATCTTCGAGAAGGCATGAATGTTTATAAGTGTATTGTGTTTATGTGGGAAAGGGAACTCAAAGTGGGTGGCGAAAGAGTGATGCTGTAAACTGCTTTTGACGCATTTCAGCACTTGTGGTGGTGTTGTAAGATCTGTCTCTGTTATTCCACACAAACTAACTTCGATCCTACAATGAACCTGGCGAATTCTCGCACAGGCGTGACTTAAATACCAGCAGAGAAGAAGGGTGAAAAATAACCATTTAAATAATTCAAATATGATTTTAAATATTTGTTGCTTTCCTGATCGACGCTGTAGTATTTGTTCTTTTTAATATGACAGTGTAGTTTCTGTTTCGAAAGTAATTAACAGAAAGGCACGGACTTCGTGCGTGGAAACTAAAACGTAGAATATAATAAAAATCAACCTAAAATAAATAGTGCAAGAGCGCACTTAAGTTTACGCCTAATTAGATGGACTCACAGGTATCTAACCAGCGTGATACTAATCTGATGAGCCCAAGAGGCTTACTAGCGTGACAGCGAAGTAACAACGAATCGAGCCCTTGGCTAGCGAAACACGCTGTAAATAAACTGAGATATTCACACGTTTAAATAGCACTTCACTTAACTTTAAATGTACAACCTGGCGAGAGACAGTGAGAGGAAGTTGAGAAGTTTAGAACAGGTACCAAACTTAAAATAAATATGGGTTGGATCCTAGCACAGCCCACACCCTTGGCGCGCCCACTTGTATGGTGCGTATCGATGCGTACATGGACAAAGTCAAAGCAGTGTGCAATGCCAAGGTTGTGCAATTCTGGGAAGTTTTTCTAAGTGAAAATAGGTCGATGTGTGCATGGATACCGAGTTTGTGCTATTTTTTGCCTTGTTATTTTCAAGTTGGCGATTTTGAGAAACGCGCGAATCAGTGGGTGATTCTGCACTTTTCTAGTTTGTCGCCAAGGGTGTGGGCTCTCCTAGGATTTTACCTAAATTTGTTAGACAAAATAGAGAAAACCTTACAGTGTAAACTGCAATAAATACATTCCAGATTTTGGTTTAGTTTGAAAATCGCAATCTTAAATTTTGGCGGCATTTAATGCAGAAATGTTGTTGAATAATACAGCATTTCTCAATTATACGTTGTTCCAAGTATAAGTAGTGGTGCATACATTGTGAATAATAGGTTTCTTGACGCCTTTTATGGTGAAACAAGCCTATCGATTAACTGAGAATCAAGCCTATCGATTAACTGAGAATCAAGCCTATGACTATTGGTAGGCAGGGAAGGAATATTTTGCAAATAAGTTTTACCGTTGCATAAGATTTAAAATTTAAATTTTCATTTATTTCTAAGAGCACTTTCTTGAGCTGCTTGAGTGCGTTAGCAAAAAGAATTTTTTGATCAGCAAAAGTCCCCCCCCCAATTAAACGAGCGATTTATTTGCTTAAAAAATTGAATAAAAGCTCGAATCTAAAAATTAAGCTCGTTGTTAGAATCTCTTATCATTCCTAACAATAAACTCCTTCGAGTCACGGATCTATTTTGCACTACGTCCCTGAGAATGACCGCTGAGCTGCCAGTATTTATTTATCATTCTCTACATTGTCTCTAATCTATGGCCCTCACAGTTCTCACAAAAGACGTCCTTCACCTTCCACAGGAGTTGAAAGCGAGCAGTTTAAAAAATAAGTTATCTGAACGAAATGTCGTCTTGCGACTGGTTCACTAACGAAAGAATTGAAGATACCTTTTTTTTAACCAATTAATCCCCGTTTATAACAACTTAATTATTAACAAGGGTGTATTGTAGTTTTACACTACAGTAAAAAATAAACATAAGCTATAATTTGTAATTTTTGTACACATTTATATTTCTGATCTGCATAATTGATATTTATCTCTTTTTTATGGTCGACATTTAAAATTAATATATTCTTGCGAGATTAATCTCGAGAATCAAGTAACTATTACTTAATGATTTAATACATATATCTGAAATCTATTCTTATTTTATTACCCTTAAATTGATAGCTAATCATGTTAATTAAGGACATACATCTAAATTTATGAATTTCAAATATATCGGTTTTATATACGTCCAGAATTTATTTCGTTCAAAGGAAGAGGTATTTAAGATAATATTTACCTTGTTAACAATCCTTCTTTCAGCATAGGAGTTACAAATTCATATTCAAAACCTTTGTTCAAGATTTCATTGCTGTTGAGCACAGGCTAATAAAGAACAGGGAAATTATTTATGTTTGAGACACTATAAAAATTAGTAGCATTGTGAATGACTAAAGGTAAAAAATATTTTAAAATTAAAATCTAAAAGCTTATCGTGTTCTTCGCACTTAAACCATAAAATTCAATTCAACAGCTATATCACAAAATATTTAAAAGAGCATATCTTTAGAATTTCCGATGCCCAGTCTCGCGCGTTGGAGATAATTTTTTTTTCCCGTACAATGTTGCTGTTGCTCACTTTGAAATCGTTGAATTTCTTAATCAAAAACTCATAAATGCTTTACAAAATATGAAATAGATAATAAAACAAATTCCAAATCTGGTCTTCCAGATGCCCATATTTGGGTGGAGACGTACTTTATTCAAAGTTTGATGGCGGCTCTTGTTACCGTTGTTTTATCACAATGCGAGAAATATGCATATATTTATGCAGATTTTTCATTATTTAGTTTCTTTAAATATAATACAGGGATCTAATATTTGGTGGCAACAATTTAAAAAGTGATTCGCCGTTTATAGTGAATCCTCACAAAATGCCAAAATAAAATTAATAGCCCTTCTGGCCTAACGCCCCTTGGGCTAAAAATCATTGAAAATACATGTCATAGATTTATGAATGAAGGATACACTCAAATAACATGAAAAAAAGGAAACTATTTCAGGGAAGACCATGCATTGGTTCTAATAAGTAAAAAAACTTGCTAAATATATTTAAAAAGCAAATATTTTGGAACATAAAACTGAAATCATTTATGTTCAGTAGTGTTAAAGCGTAGTTTACCTTTACTGTTCATAATATCACAGTTTGTTTCTAAGATCAAAGATTTCCATAGTTAAATATATCTTTAAGGGAGAGCTATGGAATTAGTTGCTATTCAGATTTACAGAGCTCGTATAAGGACCAGACGACACGATTAGAATTCTGAGATATCAACTAGGTAAGGTTGCTATTCAAAAGAAAAAGAAAAAGTTCCATAGTAACTGATCTACGGATTCTTTTTCGAAACTTTATTGCAAAGGCTATTTATACATTTTTTGAAAGATTTCAGAATCGTTTAATTAATGTTTTTTTAATGTTCGATCTGATAGCATTTTTTGCTGGGCTATAAGTCTGCGTTGTTATTTTCATGGTATAAAAGCTTTTTGTAAAATTTATTTATTATTTATTATTTATTAAAATTTATAAGAGGTTATTGACTTCAACCCGCGCCCACTACTTTCCATAATCCATCAATCGTGGTGTGCTTACGCTTAGAAAGAGTGTTTTTCAAAGGGATGAAAAGTGCAATAGTCTGTAAGTGAAACGTCTGGAGACTTCGCAAGAATACGTTGAAAACGTGTATATTCATTACCTGTACGTCTTCATTTTTTTCTGCGAATGCAGTAGTACTTTTCCAAGTATCACTTGTTGCTTTAGTCTTGTTAAAAGGTTTCACTCTTTGAAAATCCTTGAGATAGAGAAATGAAGTTTCTTTTGTAAATATCGTAAATAAAACTTTATCTTGATAGGAATTTTAACATTTTTCCCTACGCTTCTTATTTTAAACTTATTATAACAGAATCCCCATGACAATCATAAATCTCTTCCTGAAACCTTCTTTGAATGACGGAACTAGGTTTGTAAAACTTTTTCTCTTCGTTTTCTATGATAAATAAACTTTTTTGTCAATCAGCTAAACTCATCCTTTCCTTAAGATAAACCCATGCTTCATCAAGGGTCATAATATATTTCCATTTATCTCCTTCTAAATAGTTTTCATACAGGATTCTAAAAACTGCGTTCAGCAACATTCCTCCGTAAAAGCTGATGATCATTGAGTTTTTGAAGTTGTAAATCTTGGTTTATTATTTTACTTGTTGTTGACACAAATAAAAGATAAAAATATATAGACTTTGTAATTGATTTCTGCGTCGGCGGATTTCCTCTTGTTACCAAAGATTTAATTTTAGAAACATAAGAAACAGTACGTACCTTTTCCGAGTATTCGTTTGGAGTCTTCTTTCTGTGCGTAAAATTTTGCTTATTTTGCACTTATAAATTTTAATATTATGCATCTCAAAACATTTCTGAATCATACGGAAAGCGCAAAAACATATCCTTCCACAGTTTGTTTACACTCGACATTTTGCAGGAAGTATAAATTTAAAAGTAGAAGGCGATATTTATCATTTTAAATAATAAACTGTTGCCAGAAATTGTTATTTCAAAACATTTCTTTTAATTGGCTATCGAAATCGTTCAAAAAGTGTGTAAACACCATCTGTAGCTTGCAATAATTTATTAGCTTGTATAGTTTTTCTCGACAGCGGTATATAGTGCGTTTGAAATACCATACTTAAAACATTAAACGCTAAAAAATATTCCGTAAATAGTGCTGCAAATCAGGCTTATACAACGTAATAAAGCATTATTCTTAACCATTTCAGATTTTTCCAAGGGTCGAAAATTTCTAAAAATTCAAGTAGTACTTTTTGGTAAAAATGATATCCACATGTCAGAATTTCTAACGTTTACAGTTGAATATAAATGCCTGAGGGATGTATTCGTGGAGGACCTTCTAAGGAAAACTGGCTCATATACACGTTACACATGAAGGAAACCACGAAAACACCCATGAAGCCAGCCCATTTGCAGGATTCACAAATAATTTAAGGTAAGTATTTAAAAAAAATATTTGCTTTAAAAAAAGTTCTTGTTAGACCTCAGTCGGAGATTTTTGGCTGGTAAAGAGATTGTATATATGTGATTTACATGTATAAATTTATATATCTTTAGAAAAAACTTGCATACGTTAGATAATATGCATGACTAATATCATACAACCATTATTTATTCGCATAAAATTGCATTTCAAAGGTATCAAGAATGCCTCTTTTTCAAAATACCGCGCATTAGTACTGGATAACTAACTATGAACTATAATTAAAGCTTCTATTAAAAGCGTTTTCAGTTGAAACAATAATAAATATGAATGAGAAAAACTACCTCTTTCGCATTACATACAGTGGCTCACAAAAGAGTTCGTACGCTTAAGAGTTTCAGTAAAATATTACTTTATTCAATAACACAAATTAATACTTTAAATTGAAAATTTTGTAATAATATCTATAAATTTCTATTAGTAAAACTACAATAATTATTTTATGAACATATTAAAACTTGTTTTTGGAAAATAAATGATAAAAAAGTAACAGAAAAGTTACTTCACAAAAGTCTTCGTACACTTTAAAGAAATTTAGATATCTTAGTAAATATTGTAGTATATCCATCAGTTAGCATTTTGCAGTATATCCTGCAGTATTTATGACAGCTTTCAAACGTTTGGGCATATAGCTAACCAGATTTTTTTTGTAATATCAGCATTAATGTCCCTCCATTCTTCCATCATTACTGTTTTTAGTTCGGGTTTTGTTTTAATTTTGCGTCTTCTTACTTTAACTTCTAATTCTCTAGAAATATGCTCTGTTGGGTTTAAGTCTGGTGATTGAGGTGGTGTTTTCAGAACTTGTGGACAATTATAGGTGAAGTTAAGGGCTGTGTGCTTAGGAGCGTTAACCTGATAAAAAATAAAGTTATTTTCAGTACCCAAAGTTTGGGTGGATAATTTTAAATTATCTTTTAAAATATTTAAATAAAAAGCATAGTTCATTGTGCTATTAATAAATACTAAATTATTTAATCCTGATGCTGATATGCACCCTCACATTAGAACACCTCCATCGCCATGCTTTACTGTTCCAACCAAGGTCTTTAAGATTAAGCTCCTCAGTTTTTTTTCGTCCATATGCCCGTCGGAACCCCAAATGTTAAATTTGCTTTCATCTGCAAATAAGACACGATACCAATATGTCTTAGGCTTATTTGACATTCATTTTGAGAAGAGAGGTCTAAGCTTGCTATTTTTTGCACTTCCAGAAAAATTTCTTCGAGCAGAGCGTCCATATAATCCAGCGGATCTCAGCACTCGTCGAACAATTTTAAGTGAAAGTGAAGTAGAAAATTTTCAGTAAATTCTGTAGAAATTTTCAGAACACTCAAACGTGGATTTTTCTCAGATTTTCTAACTATAGATCTCTTATCACGTTGAGTCACGTCCAATCATCTTTGCCGGACAACCTCTTCTTACTTTATTTTGGATCCCATTTTCTTCTTTAGAGCATTTTATCACATACTGCACCCATAGAATGGGATAAATTTACTAATTTACCGATATCCCGAATCGATTTGCCACCCTTATGATAAAAAATGATGAATTATCGAATGCTGTTCATTGCTTCCTTACGACTATGACACATTTTGAAACATTAACTAAAATATATCGAAATAAGTAAGCAAAAAATAAAACCAAAATTTTTTTAAACGTTACCAAAATTCAAAAATAAAAAGAAAGGTGGCAGACGATAATTTTATTTATGCAATTTTACGAAAATGCTTCGGTGTAAGATCACTTTTATAGCATGTTTTATCTATCCCTCCTTAGATTTTCAATTTTAGAAAAAGAAAATAACTCAGTATTAAAAATTAAAAAGTTTGGTTTTATTCAAAATCACATAGAGATTATATGAAAAAATATTGGGCTTTCAATTCATTCGAATTCAATTCCGGGTTACAGTGCTTTTTCTGCAAATTCTTAAAGTACGCAAACACTTTTGTGAGGCAGTGTATATACCTTCTATTGATTGTATCACTAAACAACAAATAAATATCTCAGGTAAATAAATATCAGAAATCTCAGGAACACGGCATTAACTTTATCCCGTTAGATTTTAGGCATTTCTTCAAGGCATTATTGTGTGGTAGTTAGCGGCTGAAAAATGCTACACTTGCTATTATAAAACGAAAATGTTGTATTTCTGCTGCTGAACAATAATGAGATACTACCTTAATAACAGTTAAAAATTCCCTGTACGTTTAGTCTGAAGGAAAACAGCGCAATAATTATCAAACCTTTAGACCTTGTGCCGAGTAAAACATGACAATTGGTTTAAAACAGCCTTCAGTAGTTTAAGATAACGTTCATTTAAGATAGCGATTGCCATTATGTTATTTGTTATATTGTTATCAATCTCAACTAATTAAATTCCGAATAAATTTCACATCTGTCATACGGTGAATTTCTGTATTGCATTCCCTTCTGCATGCCGCCGAGCTATAAATAGTGAGCACATCTAACTAGCAGGTGAGTAAGGTCTATAGTATAACAATAGCAGTGTCGCGCAGTTTATTTCTTCCTTTGTTTATTACGGTCAAATTGTATAACTGAAATAAATGAATTCGCAGACGAAATTTAAGAAATGTTTCAATCAAATTTGGTGTGGTTTGATTTGGTTTATTTAATTATGGAAAAGCACGCAAGGGCTATCTGCTTAAGGGAAGGGATGCCTTAATGGAGGACTTTCTAAAGAAACACTAAGAAAACGCCCATGCAGCTAGCCCATTCACCTGGAATCGAACAAGATACGTTTAATTAGCTGGCTCGATATGCTGACCGTTACAAGGAGAAATGGAAGATCTGATTTCTTTCGTTACGCTTTGTGAATATTTAAATGCACAATTTAATAGTCAAAATGCTCTTAACATTCATCAAGATCAAATAAATGCTACTTTCTTAATCTTATAGTGGACTTGGAGGTAGAACGAGTTAGTAATCTACATAAATTAAACAAAAATTACCAGTGTCTTCGAATATAACACTTATCATCTTCACGCGCCAGCGTGTGGCCATTCAGTAAAGAGACAGATACTTAACTTCCAAATTTTAAATTTCTGCTATTGAGTTGCAAACCAAGTAACTGAAAAATAGTAAATGCAGTTCTTAAAAATATTCCTTCTATTTTTTAATCTGATCGATTTAAATAAGAATGCTTTTTAATCATTAGACGTCTAATTATGAATATTAAACATGTTTTAGGAAATGACACTAATTGAACTCATTAAAATCATTATATACTTTTTTTATGTTTGTGTGATAACACTTTTAGACAGCTCGAGCGACTAGTCTTCAAAGAAATAATATGAAGAATTTAAAAATATATATCTTGAGACTCGAACGGAAATTCTGAAGGTATGCTGTTTTTATATATTTTGTGTTGATTTCTTTTGAAGTCTACATGGCATAAGTGGGAAGAAAATGGTACTTAACTGTAAATGTAAAAAGACCCCCCCCCCAAGGAAAAAAAACTGTGTTAGTAGGAGATGGCCTAAGAGCAGATTGGTAACTTGCAATGCTCAGCGAGGGCATAAAAAAACGTAACGAAGCTTCTGGTCCGAAGTTAAAATCTGAATCCTTTCAGATATTTTTCTCTTTTTTTATAAATATATAAAATTATTTCAGATACGATTTACTGGATAAGAAAATGGCTACAGCGAAGTACGAGACTGTGAACTCCGAACCTGTTTACATCTTCAATATAGCAGTTTATATCTCTCATCTTTAATAGTTTTTTAACTTAAAGAAGTGATTTCGTTTTCTTGAAAAAGAATCAACTCTTGTTTTTTCGTTCTGGCTCTGTGCACGTTCTAGTACACGGTTTCGTTTAATTTTGTTCCTTTTTAATGTTTTACTAGCTATTCCTTTTGCACGAAAATTACTGCGCATACAGGAAAGAGCTTAACTTTTCGATTTTACAGGAAGAAACAACTGTGGTAGATTTAGATTGAAAGGATGAATAAAATTATTTTCCTGATTTCAGTGAAATAAAACTCAGCAATTAATTGAGATGAATACGAATAAAAGACTTTTGAATGAATCAGAAAATCTCAGTATTGAAAGATTCTTCTCATTTTTTAGGAATCTAACATAAACCTAATTGATGCGGGGCCCAACAGCAGCCGAGCGCTACAGTTGCTGAGCGTTGGTAGTTCAATCCGAGGCTCAAATCCAGGAGTGCTGGCTGCAGAGACGTTTCCGTGGTTTTTCTTATGTGTAACGTGGATACCAGCCAGTTTTCCTTAGAAAGTCCTCCACGAAGGATCCCTCCCCTTAAGCATAAAACCCTCAGCTGCTCTGTCATAATCAAACTAACCAAACCAACCTCCTAAATGTTAAATAATTCAGAAATATTTTAGTACGTTCGTTTAACCATAAACATAAAATTTCCGTTCCAGTATTTTGAAGTATGCTTAGTAAGGAACATTTGATAGCTAAAATTCAAATCCTTACGTGAAGCGAAATGTTTTACTAAATTTATGCCCTAAAGCAAGTTTTATCTTCTAGGCTTCAGCCCTCGATCAATTATCTAACATTTGAAGAAAAATAATGAAAAAGCACATAGCAGTTATCTTACCTCAACTGTTTCTGCTTTGTAGAGAATAAGAACTTGCTTCAATCCACCCCAGAACAGCCACATACCCTCCTTTCGAAACACATGGGAATAGGCACAGATCACTTGGAAGAACACTAGAAACATCTCATAAAATAGGTTATTGAATTATTTAATAATGCAACACACAACAAAAAAGCTGCATTAAAAATGAAATAAAATTTTATAGACAAAATGTTGCGTCACTAACTGAACATCAAAGAATTTGAATAAAGGTCCGAATCGTCTAAAGGTGTTTAAATATTATAATTTAGATTTATTAATCTAAATAATTATCACGAATTTTACCAGAGGACTTCTTCATTTCGCAGCAAATAAGTACATATATCTAAAGTTTTCAGTAAAAAACAAAAAAGGAATCAACTATGCATATTTTAGTTGTTGGTATTCTAACGACTAGCTGGTATAAGATTAAGAAAATGGGGACATTATTTCGCATATTTTAAATAAGATGTAATTTAGGAAATAAAGAAAGTATTTATTAAAGAGTATGTATTTTATATGCAATACAGGCAGTTTTTGGAATCTTCTTTTTATATACATGAAGATGTTCTGGGTAGTACTTTTCACCAAAGCACTAATATGCTTGATCTTGAAGGATACTTGGAAAGTATGTTTAACAAACAATAATTAAATTTTATGTAAATGAAAATATATGATAATTTAAAACTATCAAACCGAAAAATTGACACCTGAGCCTCTACTGTCAAAAACATAAGTCGGAATAAGAAAACATGAATGAATGAATTGAGAATCCACATAAAGAACTTGGTACACCCCAGTTGTAACGAAATTTTCTATTAAGTTGTTTAAATATTGTTAAACATACCTCGGTCATGTCAAGTATCCTTCAAGATCAAGCATATCAGTGCTTTGGTGAAAAATACTACCCAGAGCATCTTCATGTAGATAAAAAGAAGATTCCAAAAACTGCCTGTATTGCATATAAATTACATACTCTTTAATAAATACTTTCTTGATTTCCTAAATTAAATCTTATTTAAAATATTTAAAATATGCGAAATTAGTACGAATCAGATCATGTCAGTTAGACGAATGCTAATGTAGTCAGTAGGTGTTAGTACAAAATCTGCTTATTTGGAGTCGCGCATCATCGAAGACACTTCTTTTGCAGAAAACATCATGTCATTGACATTGGACTGATATTTTATTGCTAGAACTTTAGTCTTACGCAAGATAAAAGTGTTCCGAGGGTAGTGAAATATCTGGAAAAGGCCATCTGCCGCTTCCGAGAGTAAAGTCTTCAGAATTTGCAACATGTCTGACTTTGCAGCAGTTGCTAACATGAAAGCAACTGCTGCAAAGTCAATGTAGGATTATTGCTTATTAAATTTGAAAGAAAGTATAATGTATGCAAGATGGCCAATTCTTTTCAACCGGTTTATTTTGTTTTCCCAGGTTGAAGCGTTTAACTCGAAATCCTTGGTAAAACTCGAATGAATGATTCCGAATTCTCTTCAGTGACAAGCTGAAGTTCCGTTTAAATACTGATATTAAACGTCTTTTCATTTAAACAATAACAGAAAGTAAGGAATTGCTCATGGGATATACGAGTAAGTCTAAGTTTTATCGCAGTGGTCAAGAAGGTACTACAGTACATCATTCCACTAATCTGAACATTTACACTAAAACATTGTAATTTTTTAAAAGTATGTAAAGGATGTCCTGCATGCTCAAATAATATTTTTAAGGATCTGTAGCCCCTGGTTTTCCCTTACAGGATAATAATTTATCGATTCTCGCACGGGATGCACAACTTAAAGCAGATGACACTTATTCGGCAGGAATGACTAGCATACTTGACACGAATCAGTTCCTTTGAAAATGCTTAGGATGTCTAAGATAGAGTTAACCGGATCAGCTTCCAATTGTAGTCTTCAACAACTCAGATCTGTCTTTACAGAAGAATAAGTTAAGATCCAACAGTGTTAGGTTAACAATCTGTGAAGATATTGGGGGCAGGGGAGAGAATGCTATGTGTATATGTCCTCTATGAAGTTTTATTTCTCAATAATTTTCATGTAAATAGAATTAATATGTTTGCATTAAAATGTGTGTAAATTACGGAATTTTTTTCCTTCATCAAAAATAATATTAAATTTTCTATTTTATCTTTATAAAATTTTCTCTTCCATACGAAATCTTAGGCAAAAGTGAATGGAAATGCTTTAGTGGGCAAAACTAAAACTAATTTCTTTAAAGACACGTATTCTTTATCAGGTGAAGATAATTATAATACTGAAATCTGTAATTACATATTTAGTATAGGTGTGTAGTAAGCTATACGACAATGAGAAGAATAGCTAGTTAAAAAAAGGAAAAACGTAATGAGGAACATCCTAGAAAATATACATTTCAATTAAGTTTGGAATACAATAACATTCCTTCATTTTTACGAATACCGAAATATTCGCAAGAGTTAATGGGAAAGATTGTATTGTTGCTTTTAACAGAAACAATTGTTATTCGCCTTTATGAAAACCTGCAACAAAATGTTAAGGATATAAAGATATACTCAGAAAATGGGGCTATCGTTTAAGAACACGAGAGTATAAATTCGTAAAACTGCATAATGTATTTTCTGAGAAATAACCATTATGCCTGTGAAACCGGATTTTGCTACCATTTTAATCTGAACAATTGGATCTTTTCTCAATAAATAATAGCAATATTAGCGGATATTAAAGGAAAGAGAAACGTACTACCTTATTTTATTATTCGAAGATGATCGAAGTTTTCAGTGTAGGAATTTTAAACAGTAAACCTACTAGTCTAAACAGACGGTGACAGAAATACGCTTACAATTTTAAAAGTATAAGAAATGCCTACTGTAATAAAACTTTCAACTCTCGTGCTCTTTTTCTCGCTTACAGCAATCTTTGATGCAACTAGTGCATTAAAATTCATAAAAATATAAAACTAGCAAATTGATGCAGTTTATGGACTACGCAGTTAAAAAAATTGGAGCTAAAATGCTGATGTTATCACCAATAGACTGAGGAAAGCACGCAAAGGTGAAGTTATTATCATCATTTTTCTCTGTCAAGGAAAGTCTTTGAAAAATAAGGAATGCTGTCTACGTAAATGGCTCTTTGGTTAAGCAACTTAAAATGAAAATTATAGCAATCTGGTATCGTCATTTGTTAAGAAGCAGTCACAGATATCAACAATAAAATAAATGTTTTGCATAGGAAATGTAGGGATACAGTTGTTGAAAAGTGCACCAGACAGTATCAAAATGAATTCAAAACAGCGAAACTGAGCCAACATTCAACTATAATTTGTAAATATTTTCAGTTGAGGGTGACGCTATGTCGTAAAAGAGGATAGTAAGGATATTCCTTTATTTGAAATATTTATTTCGTCGGTTTGTGAATAATATACTTCTATATATATTTTAAATTTTTAAATTAGACTGCACAATCGTAAAAATATGACTCAAAGTGATCTCATTTATTTCTACAATAAATTAATAAGCAAAATTGAGATTTCTTCCGAGATAGTGCTACTGTGTTATTTGCGTGTTCTATGACTTTATTTGGTTTTGAAATATTTAATTCTAAACGAAACTCAAACTGAATGAAACAGATGCTTTACTCTGGGAAAGTTCAAAACTGAATAGCGGTTTATAAGTAAAAGCTTAACTCGGAATCTTAAAAGGCTATAAATGCGCCACTTAAACGAAATGGAGTCCCACCAGGGGCCAAAAGTAAAGTAGCTGAACACTAGTAATTCGAACCGGGATTAAAAGCCGGCGAACGACATTCGAGCCAGTTTATTTATAAAACGTCCTCCACAAATGCATCTCTTTCCTCAGGCACGTAGCTCTCGAGTTATTTCGCCTTACATACATAACTAACAAAGGTGATATAGTTAAATTGTTTCTTAATTAAATTTTCTTTTATAGTAATTTATTTCTATATTATATTTGCATTTTCTTCTCAGATTTTACGGATCTTTAACCTGGATTTAAAAAAAAAAAAGATAATATATCAGTTATAATTAAAATTACAGTTATAATTAAAATTACAGATACTGATAATATATAACTGATATAATACAATATCAGTTATAATTAAAATTACAGATTTCTCCAGAAATGGAAAGTAAGAGATTTTATGACGGGAATTAATGTATTTATTTGTTTCTATTCTCCTGTTATAATAATTTTATTCGATTAATTCAGTATTAAATTATAATTACTTAATTTTTCTGTCAGAAAAATAAATCACCTCAAAGTTTTGAGACGTCCAGTCGACAACAGTCGTTTTGTATTATCAAACAATAGTATTAATAATAACAATAATGTACATATAAGTATCATATAAAGTGGTATCTTTCATCCCTTTACATTTTTATTTAAGGTAACCTCCAAATAATTGTAAAGAAAAAAGTAAGCATTATTCGAAAACGAAGTAACTTTGTTTTTACAAAGATTCTCAATGAGGTTTAAGTTAAGAAAATTTTCGGCATGTATCGCATTTACATTCTGCGCAATTTGAAATTTAACCGTTAATGATTTATGACAGCCTCGATATTATTGATTATTAAAAAGAGTTTCTGCCGTTTCCTACTGGAGGATTACTAAAAAAGGTATTTGTTGTTTCCTATTACTTTCATTTTCCCTTTATTCCTTGCCCATAGAATGCAAAAAGTAATTCAGCATGCCTGGAAAGATCATTATTTTAATTAATACCTTAAACTGAGAAAGAAAGCCTACGGGAAATGTCAGCTAATTATTTCCCTAATTTAAGTAAAATGTTCCAATACATTCGTTTTCATCCACACAGAACAAGCCACACCACTTCTACATGGTTAGAGGTGGAATGAAGGTAAATGTGACTGCATGTCATATAGCTGAAATTTTTTTTCAAGTTTATACATTATTACTGCTTTATTCTTATGTCTAAAAACTAGCTACTGCCTCTAGATAAAGGAAATTCACGTTGTTAAACATACATTTTTTTCTTTCACAAGCAAACTTAAATACCTATTAATTATTTAATTTTAATAAGCTTTATGCACGTTAAATATCAGTTATGTTTCATGATTTGTGTTTCGTGCTTTGTTTTCCTTTCGTTTATTTTGTATATTATTATATCGTTTCACACACACAATTTTAAACGTTTAAAACTAATGTAACGATGTATTAATGCATGCAGGAGCTGCAAAATACTTTTCAAATTAATGTTTGATAAAAATCTGCTTCGACTGTCATCGATGTCAGTCGAAGAAGATGCATTTGCATATAAAAATGAATTGTCTTATAATGCAGTTTTCGTATCTAGTTTAAACAAAATCTAAACAAAGGGCGCATTTTGTTCTTTTTATCCCTTATGTTTATGAATACATGCATTTTTGAAGTTAATGTATTCTTGCTTTATATATCCAAATATGAATTGAAATTAATTAATAAAATAATACTAATTAACCACACTGTCTAAGAAAGAAAGTTAAAAAATGCAGTTATACTATTTTATCAAAAACACAACTTATTATTTATGATATATTTTAAATACTTACGCACTCTGTTGCTGGCTGCCTTGTTCCTAAAAATGCTAATTAAAGGCACAACATTAGTGATGAAACCATTCACCTTTGGTCCTGGAATTCTTTTCGCAGGAGCTTTACATTTTTTTGTGTTATAAATATAATATATAATGCTCAACGTTATCATAAGCACGGAAGTCGTTAACGTCCATACTGCTGATGACTTTTGCAACCTGAAATAATCTTCAAACCTTTGCAGAAAGAAGGCTTGTGCGGATGCCATTGTTCTCACAATGTTACGACGTTGTCAGAGAATTTGTAAAATTATTGCTAAAACCTGAACACAGTAAGTTCTCAGTAAATATAATAAATAATTATAAATTTGAAAATAGGATGGTTTACTTTATATTTCAATGAAACTCATAGCTCCAGTTTTCACTCAGAAATCATCCATTAATATCGGAGTGTAAGAAAATGTTATCTTGATAAACCGTGAATTCATTCTTTCATTTCGACTGTTGATTAATGTAACTGAGTTTTTAAATGTTTAATAAGAGCGAATTTATTATACTGACATATAATAATTCAATACTGATAAAAGTTCCATCAGATAAGAAATAATCTGTCTTAGATTACCACACATTTATGCTATTTACCTTTCAAATCTCTTTAATATATTTTCTCGACACAGCCACTTAACAATGCTCCTTATATCCTTTCACTTTGCTGCATATATTCCATGCTTCCCTGTATTTTTTACACTTTCTAAATATTTATTTCCTATATGGAAACAAACTATTATTTCGTCCGGCTAATTACATTTATTCAAAGCATTTAAATGAGAAAATGTCATTCGTTGCTTATAATGGTATCATTAAGGAGATGCAATCCGTATTCAAATATCCTATTATTTTCCAATGAAATTTCGTTTACTTTCAAGCGCAAATTAACTTCTGTAATTGCACTTATATCGTTAAAAATTCTCTTTTAAAGTACATAAATTCTTCAGTATCGTGATCATACACTAGACAACAAACTCAGTCGGCCTAAACTACTTTTCAGGTAAATCAACTAATGAAAATAATAAATGAAATGAGATTCAGGTAATTTCCGATAAAAAGCAAACAAAATCTGTCGTACTGGCAATTCACATCTTGAAGATGTACTTTTTTAAATACAAAACATTTCTTGATGCATCAAGAGCACTTGCGATCCTCTCCAAATTTCAAGAAGCGCTTAGAACAAGCCCTTTCATTTCAGCGCGTTCAATTGGTATGATACTCGCACTTGGAAGTCAAGTTTATCGCGAGAGCTCTTTTTTTTTTTAATTTGCTTGATCTTTGACAAGTCAAAACGCTTACGTTCAAGGTCGAGCACCTTTTTTGCTTTTGTTTATTTATTTCGGTACTTTCAACCATGGACATCCAGAGCTATTGGCTATCAACTGAGCAAAACAAATACAAAAGCAGTTCCATCCATTCTTTCGCAAGACAGTCTAGTTGATTGGGCCACTTTCATTCGCAGAATGAAGGAAAAGAAACTCTGAAACATGCCAAGAAATTAAACTTCTCTATTATATTTTGAATATATATTGTTAACTGACTTTAATTTACTACCTAAACTGTGGTCTGACACACAAATTGCATGCAGTCCGTATGCACGAACTGAAAACGACTGATCGGTCAGACTTTTTATTTAATAGCAAAATTTAAATTTTTTATCAATAAAATAAACTAGATTTTAAATTTTGCTTACTAAGTAATTATTAAAACATACATAAACATTAATAATAATAACGTAAGGCAGAAAAAAGTCCAAATTTATATTTATTTATCTGAAATTTTAAGTTTAGTATCTACAAGAAATTTTTGTTTGTTATTCTTTGTAATTCAAACTTACTGACGGCTGTTTCAAATAGTTCTAACATGTTTAAATAATCATTTAATAAATTACTTAATTTAAGCTAAAAATGAACAAATTGTGAAAGATTTCTAAGTTTCAGAGAAAACTACATGTTTGTTGTATATAATTATAAATTTTGTAATACAAAATTTGTGTGTATAATATCTATGCAGTGAAGAAAAATTTCTGAAAACTATCTTCATCATGGATTGTAAGTGCTTATCGACAAGCAGGTCTTTTTTTTTTTCTATTTAATTTTCAGTTACGGAAAAGGAGATATCCACATATAAATGCATTTGCAAATAAGGCTCACCAGCGGCCGAGCGGTAAAGTCGCTGAACACTGGTAGTTCGGTCCGAGGTTCTAATCCCGCGAACGGGCTGGCTGCATGGGTGTTTTCGTGGTTTTCCCCATGTGTAACGTGTATACGAGCCAGTTTCCCTTAGAAAGTCCTCCACGAAAGGCATCCCTCCTCTTAGGCAGATAGCCCTAGTGTGCTTTGCCGTAATTAAATACACCAACACCAGCATTTGCAAATAAAGCTATTATTCTTAATACAAAAATTCGTAACTGAGTGTAGCTTTTTTATGAGTACGAATAAAAGTATGTAAAATATTTGAATAATATTTATATCACACTGTATATTAATTAACTCCATTTATAGATTTTCTGGTCGTTTTTAATAGTACTGAAAATAGTAACAAACTCTGATTTCAAATCTTAAAATCTTTTCTTTCAGCATATTTGCAACAAATACATAACTGAAATATATTTTCATACAGCATGAGTTGCTTCTGAGGGCCGCCAGTTTGAGACCATTGACATAAAACATCCTCTGTCAATAACATAATTACGTTTAAAAATCTGAGATGAAATCTGAGAAAGTAATCTGAAAAGTAAAAAAAGAAAAGTAATCTGAGATGCAGTGTAGTATATTTTATAATCTTTTAAAACAGGGGTTCTTTTATCGAGGGAAAGAACATAAGCAGGGGTTCCCGTAAAACTGCTTGGGATCTCAAGAAGAGAAGCATTTAAAGTACAGAATAATATTTTTTTTTTACGAATGAAGCACTGCGACTCAATAAATGAACGAGCATTTATTTTGGTCCTGGTATGCAAAACATTATTTCAAAGCTGCGCATTAGTTTTTAAAGTTTCCTGTTACGCATATGCATATTGGTTTTAAAAATTCTTATACGACTCTTAATAAATTCCGTAAACCTAATTACTAATACATGAAAGTTTACAGAGAATTAAATTTTTACTCAAGGGAATGAGAGAGAAAAAGAAAGGAACATGAAATTTCGTTTTATTTAAAAGGTTTAGAAAATGAAAAATCTTATTTCAAAAATATTTTGCTTTAAACCATCTCGAAATATTATTTTACTGTATTTATGATATATTAAGGTGTGCCTACTTTAATCCAAATAAGAGAAATCGGTTAAAAAAAAAGGTTTTATAAAAATTGTAATTACAGTTTGAGTAAGAAAATTAATTATTAAAAATTTATTTGCATAAGGAAATTATAAATAATTGTAGGATTTTTCTACTCGGAATAGCGATTTATCATTCTTATGCCCAATTTGAAAGTAATATTCTTTATGACATGATCCTGGGGAATAGCAATAAAAGTTACGTCGAATAACGAAACAGATCATATGATAAAAATTCTTTAGTTTGGTAACTACCATTCTATACATTTACTTGTCACGTTTTTATATTTTAATGCTTGTATATCGAACATTAGTGACATGACATTCCTCAATAGCTTGAAACTTCGTAAGATCTGAATCTTTAAATTTAGAAGAATCCTATTTATTGTTAGCAAATTCAACGACAATAATGTTCGACGCCAGTTCAGCAAATCATTTTTGAAAAAAGATGCTTCCAAATTTATCAGTTTGGTATTAGACTGTTTGGTATTAGTGCGTTTTAAGATTTAAAAAATTACTCATTCTCCCAGTTGCTCTATTTTCGTTCGACTTTTTTATTTGAATGAAATAATTTTAATCAATCAGAAATATTTACGATATGAGAAATGCAAGACATGGAAATAAATATGCTGTTAAAAAAAGTCCCTAGAAAGTACAAAAATATTTGTTAACAAATCATATATATCAGAGAGTTTTTACGTAGCTTTATTGCAATCAAAATTACCACATTCCTAAAAAAAGAAAGAAAAGAAAAAAAAATTGATGAAATCCATGGAACTCCGTATACCTTATACCTTTTGTCATCTACCAGATAATATAAAGAACCAAACGCAAGTTAGTTGCAACAAAATTAAAAGAGAACTTGCGTTTTTAGCGGTGACACTCACTTTTAATTATATATACGTATGTTAACAAACAGAAATGGGAGCATCGTTTGACAGATAATCCACACTTCGACATTTATAGCCCTTCAATACTACACGTGTTGCGAGATTTCGTCTAAAGCAGTCATTGGCCCAATACATGCAATATAATGTCCCTTGATAAAATTATTAGCAACTGTCAGATGGAGAATCCGTATCCAAAGCTTCTCATCACTACACGAGCCGCTATCATTAGTTTATGGAAAATTTTGCCCGTTCCCAGAGAACCAAAGCTATTTTTGCTTGGGTTAAAAATAACATTCAATGAAAGAATATTTGGATCGGTTGAAGAAAAATGAATTGTAAATTGTATTCAATAGCTCTCATTCAGTGAACATTATAAGAAAGTTCCAAATTCAATAACATGGGCGTTTTCGTGGTTTTCCCCATGTGTAACGTGTATACGAGCCAGTTTCCCTTAGAAAGTCCTCCACGAAAGGCATCCCTCCCCTTAGGCAGATAGCCCTAGTGTGCTTTGCCATAATTAAATACACCACCACACACACCACCAAATTCAATAAAGGAAGTAAAATGATCGATTATCCACATGATTAAAATTATAAACTCTGCCGCGATATAGCAAAACTCTGGTGTAATACTAGGCTTCGGGCGCCAACTGTATATAATAAAAATTCCAGAACGCATATTATATTTAAAAAACTAACTATGGTGTGAAGACTATCTGTGAAACATAATTAACTCTAAACTGCTAAAATTGACTTAAATATAATTATCTTTTCCAGTTGGTTCGTAATCATAGCTCTGGAACGTTAATTTTAGCAAGATATCATTTTGCTAAAATTAACCTTCCAGAGCATTATATTATTTCTAATATATAATTAATTATGCTGCTGATCTAAAATTATCTCGATCTATACTAAAATATACTAAAACAGATTAAAGATTTCTATGATTTTCAGTATTATTCTCATTATTGCTATAGCCTTTTATCATGTTAATGTTAGAATAAATTAGTGTCGCTTTTGCATAATAAAATAGGCAACGTCAGAAACCATGAAGCGCTGAACGACATATTGACCAGAGAGGATTCTACCTGTATTTTTAAGATGCAAGAAAGTCTTAAAAGGATGTTATACTATATTGCTTAATAGGTAAGCCTGAAGCTATTTGAAGTATAGTATCTTAGAAATTCTTTATTTCAGCACTTTAATTTAAGTGTTTGTAAAGACTGTTAACTTTTATTTTATGTTCTATCTGAGCTAAGCAAACTGGCTGTTAAATCAAGATTTCATAGTTATTCTAACTTATGATTCTTTAATAAAACTGTGCTAAAATAGAGGATAGTGTACTCAAAGGCTTTAATTATGTTAAATGCACGAAATATCAGTTATTCATTGATGTTCCTCGAAGTTCTTCACACAAATAGCATAAATTATTTCGAAATTGTGCGAAAAATGTGCATAGAAATCGAGAATAAATAGGTACGGCTGAAAAAATTTGATTATCGAGCAAACGAAGGGCATTCAGTGTAGCTCTTTCTAATAATTTTACAAGTGAGTTATTTAAAACCAAATTCTTATGAGCTAATGGTTTTCTTACGTAACTCTACTAGTACGATGTTATCTGTGAAATGTAGCTTAATAGCATTGGCTGGTAAGGGTGAGGCGTATGGGTGGTGCTTGTAGGGATCCGCAAAAATAACAATCTGTCGTTGGGAGGCATTTAACCGAAACAAGTAATGTTAACGAGTCGAAGTTAAGAATTTTCAAACTTGATTATTTCATTAAACTGCGGCGTTCATTAAAATATTACATATTTTTCCAGTCATTTTTCTGTTCTCTACGAAGTTTTATTAGACTCATCTGCTTATTTTTTACTGCTCCAAAGCGATCTTACTAAGTTTGCTATTAATTCATCATTCCACGTGTAGAGACAGTAGGTATTTTTCGGAGCAGGAGAAATGAAAAATGACCGGGAATCGAACTACGCGCCCAGCGTGCAGTCCACTACACCACGAGAGCACGCTAAGAAGGCGGGAGAAATACCTTATATACTCACCCTTTTAAAGAGCGACTTGGGTTTAGGGAAGCCAGTCGCTAAATCCTGGGTGTGGAGAATCATCATCCACCACACTTTTAGTTCAGGAGCCACTGTAGAGACATTAGATTATTTCGAAGCAGAAGAGATAAAAAATTAGCAATTCCATCTCCGGGATTCGAGCCATGAACCTCTCGAATACGCTTCGAGCCTGCCGACAACCACACCGCGAAGGCATGCCAAGAAGGCGGGAGATATACCTTATACACGAATCACTTATTTCTGCATAAACTTGCTTGCAATTTTACATTTCTGCAAGACCAAGATTTACTTTCTTATTTGATAACTGGAGCAATGTCAAAACCGAAACTTCAATCCTACGCCATCAAAATGTTGATCCATCTCACTAGCCCCCTGCTACTAAACTTCTAGAAGCTCCCATAGAAGCCTAGCACTTTATATGAGCAACTAGTGACTGTCATAAGTAGCTTTACTAGGTACTCATTTGCCCAAGTATAGGCTCATTTGTTCAAACATTTGCTTACTTATTTTATTTTATTTTACTTTTAAATATTTTAAAATTTTTAATTAAAATTTTAAAATTTTTTATTTTGCTTTTATTTATTTATTTTTTATTTTCAGTCTTTCAATGAAAAATAAAGCCTTCTTAATATGAGTTTAATCTTTTTGTGAAGTCATTTTAGAGATGTTGACTATCGGCAAAGATCAATAATACTCTTATGTAACTGTTTCCCGAAACACTGACCAACCTCAGAGGCGATAGTTTTGGAAAAATAATAGATAAGGATTTCATTGTTTTTTAATTAAAATATTCGAATAATATTCATTAAATTAAACACATGAAACTTGATTGTAAAATATAAAATGAGTGGAATATCAGCTTCTTCCTGATTCAGAAAGATGTTCCTATCCGCATCTGGGCGCAAATTTGTTATCGTCTAGGTTATTAAATTCATCTAGCAGTAAAGTAGTCTTGGGGGTATTTCCAATTTGTGGGTATTTCCAATACCCACAAATTAGAAAGCATCTTTTCCACTTAGAAAACTTAGGAAAGCTACTCGTCTACAGTATGAGAACTGGTCGTAAGCTCTTCCGATAACGAATTAAAATAAGCATATTTAATTTAAAACTGATTAATTTTCTTCGAGATATCTATTTCGAAATGTCGTACGTTTCCTTTCGCTAAAATTAATAGTCTATTTTAATTAAAATTTTATTACCTTTCTCACATTTATATTACTTCATTTTTTAAAATTTCTTTCCTTCCACCTCTTGACAGAGTATCTCAAAAAATACAAATCAGTCAGATATTTAGTAATCAAGCGTGAAAAAATTTTAACAGCCTTAGGATTTAACAGATATGCTTATTTTATTTGATCTTTCAAACAGTGAGGAAGCCACTTCACAGCGAACTGAGTTTTGTTTGTTTCAGCACTGTATATTTTGGGTAAGCGAAGTTTTAAACTTCTGCTAGTGAGGAGATAGTTAAGTGAACAGTAACTCAATGTGCAGTTACTTATTGCCATAGTTAAGCTTTCAAATATTTCAATATTTCTGTAGTGAATCGTTTACTTGAACCTTCACTCAAATTGCAAGTCTACTAAATTATAAGTATAAATACATTCTTTTAAATATCTTTTAAGGGACAGATTTTATTTAATCTCTTGTGATCTTTCTAAAACATGTACCGAAATCTATCCTAGGAAGCAGAAGGACAGAATGAGATTTTAAATATCAATAACAATATTTTCAGCTTCATTCTTGTTCATATTCAATTTTGAAATAATATCTTTATGATTCCCATTGCCTTCTTTTTTATCACACGACTTTTAATTAACAAAGATAGTTCAATTTGTTGCATTTCTATTCATCTACCACTCAACAAATAAGTTTATTAATTAACTACTGAGTTTATTATTTGATACAGGCAGCAAGTGCAAATTATTTTGTGCAATAAATTTTCATCTAATAGACAGATTTCTCTTCTTGCTAGCAGCAAACGTTTCAGTCATTCGCCTGCACGTGCAGCAGTTTCATTTGTATCCCAGAAAATTACTTATTAGTATTCCTCGTCAAGCAACATTAGGCGTCGTAAATAGCTCTCTCCGATATCACAGTGACCATTGTTTTAGACTTGGAATTTTGTCCTTCACATGATCTCTCTCTAACGAAATAAACAACTCTGCTTCAAGTTGATCCAAAGATTGCAATGAAGACATCTGGTTCTCCTTGGAAATCTAGCCTAAGGCTTGTTGCGGGTCAAAGCTAGATTTCACTCTTGTTTTTATTGGTTTACTTTCTATCTATTTAAGTGAATGAAATGAGAAAAATGGACAGAAAACAGTTGCATAGAAAGTGAAATCGCGAAAATATACATCCATATACTTTGTGCAATCAAAATGTATTTCATCTCAATGTGTGAAAGACTATTTATTAACCACATAAATTTACAGAAGAGAGATGCTTTTTAAGAGATATAAGTCAATTCATCACTTTTTTCGGAATCATGCGGATATTTATGTTCTTTAAAGCTTTTGTTCATGCACTGTCATTTGTTAGAATAGTATGTATTTCAAAATTACATTAAAATACTATTATATAGAAAAAAATATTCATTAGAATCAATTATTGTTACTTGCGATCTTGACCTTGAAGCTTTCTTTTTGTGTTCTTTTAGAATCCTTAAGGACTTTTTCCTGAATGCTTATCGAACTAATACACTAGCAACTTGTGCCAAAAGACGGTACCAACTTATACCGGCCAATCAGCTGGTGCAAAAGGGAAAGTTTCGACTCATTATAGCCGATTTATTTTAAGATATTAAATGACAGTACCTTAAAGTAAATTATAATATATGTATTTACATAACATTGTATGTACTATATGCATGTATGTAATACATATACGGTGCATGCAATATATATATGCAACACATATACATTGCATGTAATATATACATAATCTATAGTAATAATAATTTATGTATTTACATATATTGAACGCATTTTTTGCAAGCTTTTTTTAGCATTTGTAGATTTCATGGCTTTGCCTGCTAGTCAATCGCTTGAAAATCTTCAGGTGCATTTAAAGAAACTCCCATATCAGCAGAGATTCGCAAAATTTAAACCTGCGTCATTCTAAGATCAATTCACTTAAATTTCGATAATATTTGAACTCCGTCTCGAACAAAATATTTTTTGGATTTCCAGAAACAATTTATAACATACTATTTAGTTGTTGAAGATGTTAAGGCAACATGAATCAGCGTAACATTTATAAATTTGCAGGACTAGTTTCGAAGATGCTATACCTAAACCTACGAAACTAGTCCTGCAAATTTATGAACGTTATGTTAATTATTTTTCCAACAGTAATCGCCATTTAGCGTGCTATTTTAACGCAGGCACTATTTGGTATTTTAAAACGTACTAATAAACTACTTAAAAATGTACTATTTATAGTGATATCATGCATCACAACATCGAATGTTTTAACGGAGAAAAACGAAATTATTTTTATTTTCTCTAGTGATTTTAACTAGTGAGTGATAACTATGTAAGTGAAGACAACTGTCAATATTCATTTGCTAATGATGCCCAGTTAACCGTTCTTTGCCAATTTAGTAATTATTTTCTACCATTTTAGATATAAATAATTAAATTTCAACTCGTAGACATTAAAATTTGAAGGTACCGTTAATGCTTACGAAATATTTTATTTTAAGATATTTATTTACATCAGTAAAAATAATTAAAACTGATTTTATATTATTACTAGATTAAATATTTTTTTAAAAAAAGCATTGATGCGTTCATTAGAATTTCACATTTTATTTTTAACATTTTCTCGCAGTTTATTAACAATAAGAACCTATATTATGAGTTTCTTATGAACGCGTAATTTTCCATAATCTTTTATGTGTCACTGTTTTCATTTAACTTATCATTCTCAAAACAAAATTCATGGCATAAAATCTTCTATTTACCTTTCGAAATTTAACTGTATATTGCTTATCAGATAACAAAACGAATAACAAGTCAATATATATTTCCAAATAATATTTTCATATCTTTTCTTTGGCAGATTTTATATA